AAGCATGAGCCTAGGGCTGCAAACTCAGCTCCTTCCACAGTGACCTATCTGTGCTGCCTAAATGCCAGCAGGTCCAAAGATAGACGGAGCGGATTCCAGGTCTTTCTGCTCTGCTGGCACATCTCAGAGTCTTACCCAGCCAGTAATATGTGGAAGTGTCTGGCTTCCCCCTGGGCTGTCCCACCCATGGCAGAAGCACGGTGAACATTTGTCATTGAAGGATGGGAGCATTCGCCTCAGTCAGGCAATGCTACAAGGATCAGAGGAAGAGCATACACTTTTCCGGAAAATTGCAGCATGGAAATAATTTTCTATATTTACTTATATTTGATGTAGGCCCAAGAGTAATGACAGAGTTGTAGAGCACATGTGCTGAGCAGTCAAGTCGGAGGCCGAGGGCCCCAACCCAGAGAGGTTTGGAAGCGGGTTCCGGGATGAGGAGCCGCAGACCCAGCGGTGCCAACAGACCCTTTCGGGGCTGTCCTTGGGCGGAGCTGTGGGCCATTCTTCTCCAGGAGCCAATCCGAGTTCAGCCCAGAGAATTCCTGTGCATTCTCCATACAGAGGACCTAGAAAAGTGACTGTGGGGAGGGAAAGTCTATATCCATCTGCATTAGTATCCAGAATAGGTGCGCTCCTGTGGAAATATCTTCACCTTCCTAGAAATGTTGGAATTCCCCGCCCCCTCTTGGCATTTTTGTTGCCTTCGTCTCCTTTCATATTTGAGCGATGTCCATAGTCCTTATCCATTTCAGTCAACCGAGGGCGGCCACGTGCCGAAAGCCCTCACCCCTCCCGCAGCCAGCAGGGGGGTGTGAGAGGAGATAGGGCTGGCACGTGGGAAGAAAGAGGTGGGCCGGCAGCTTGGCCCAGGGAGGTGGGTTCTGTGTTACCTGACCAGGGAGGGTTAAGGACAGGCTATTTACAGTTGGAGGTATCAGCCTCACAGCGTAGGGTTACTCTGTGCAGTTTCCATTCTAAGGGCTCACGGTGCACCCCTTGCCAAGACGGCGGCTGGCTCATGTTTAGTTCACGAATCAGACTCCAGCACGCAGCTTTGGGTGCTCCTTGGGCCACAGCCTTCCTAGAAGCATCTCTCTCTCTCTCTCTCTCTCTCTCTCTCTCTCTCTCTCTCTCTCTCTCTCTCTCTCTCTCTCTCTCTCTCTCTCTCTTTTCCCCTCTTCCCCCCCCCCCTTCCTTTTTCTTCTGGTGCCCTTCCCACCCCCTCCTTCCTGCTCTGCCTGTCACACTCTTTGTGAGGCAATGTCTACCCTGGTCCAAGCCAGAGGGCAGTTGGACCACTCCCTTCCCCCGGCTGCAGGCTTGCCATGTATTTCCTGGGTGTTTCACCCTCCCCAGCTTCCTGGGTGGCGTTATTCCTAAGAGGCCATCTAGAGACGGACAGCCTGCTTTGCTCTGGGCCCCATCTGTCAACCGGGCCTCATACTCATAACTGGAACCTCCATCAAGGGGCTGTCCAAGGGCCCTTTCAGTGAATTCACGCATGTAAGATGCTTGGAACAGCGCCTGGCACACACAGATGTCTTCTCGTCGCCCTTTGTCATTGCCGTTGTCATTGTCACCCTTTGCACGGTGCAGCCTCCCTTCCCAGACTCCAGAGCCGCCTGCATGTCACAGGAAAGAGGAGGAGCCAGTGAGCCCTGGTTATGTCAAACGGAGGAGGGAAAGGAATCAAGATTTCAAGCTTGGAATGAAAACAGTCCTGCTGTGGTCATGAGCTAAGCTTGATATAGTTTACACACTAATCTGCTGGGCAGGTGGGAGTGGGCACACACGTTTCTTTTTGATGGGACTTTTTGTCTAAGAGAATAAAAGATAGGAAACCTCCCCCGGATGCGGGGCACCGTCCAAGCCATGTGTTATGTACCAGCACCTCCCGCCTTCTGCCAGGCCCTACCCTTGTCGCCCTTGCTGACTGTTGTTGTTTTTGTTGTTGTTTACAAGGCTGTACTTTCCAGATCCAGGGTAGGTTTTAACATTAGGTTTTCCCATAATTCCATTTTAGTCTTATAAGCCTAGGAATAGTGGCACCATCAGGAAAGAGAGAAAGGAGCCGAACCGAATTCTCATTTCTCGGGACAGTGGCCAGAGGATAAAAAGCGTGAGGGCGCGTGGAGAACCGGGGCGTGGCAGAGCCTTAAGGCCGCAGCTTCTCTCCGAGGTCGGTCTGAGCGGACGGATGGCAGGGACCCAGGGGCGAGGGTGTCTGTGAAGGTAGTTTCCACAAAATATGGATAAACTGTTCACATGGTTTTTAAAAAAACAAAACAAAACAAGACATGCTGATACTAAAAGGGGCATGGCTTCATTTTTGCACTTTGCATGCTGGGAATTTCCACTCACAAAGAAGGGAAACACCAGTATGTAAAGCTATATTATCTGGCCAGACCTGAAGAGTGAGATAGAAAATGACAAGGCACTTGGGGATCGTACAAGGAAAAGATCAGTTGAAGAAGTTAAAAGGACAAAAGGATTTTTCTCAAGTAAATTAATTCTCTTTGATGTGAGGCTTAAAAAAAGAAGTAAATGCCTTGGCAGGTATGGTGAGGCCAGGGTTGGGGGTCGGCAGGGGGGTAGGAGTGGTCATAGAAGGGGCAAAAGCATGAGCACAGGCTTGCGAGTGGGAAAGAAGCACGTGAGGAATCGACAGCAGCTTAAACTCGGCAAGAAATATATGATGAGGTGGAAGGATCGCTTGGGGCAGGATGGCTGAGTCCGTGACTTGGGGATGGAGAATCAGACAGCGGGTGCTCTCAGTACAGCCGTGAGGGCAGCCTCCAAGTTACTGGGATCCCGTTGTGGGACCAGCTCGGAGGCTCAGGTCCAGGAAATAAATAGTGAGGAATAAACATATATATACATGTAGGAGGCAGCTCTCTGGTCTAGGTAACAGTCCATTGGAACTTGCTCTAGCAGAACGGAGCCCACAAAAGCTTGTGTGGAATCCCCCAAATTGTCCCGCCTCACAACGCTAACACGGAGGAACGGGGGAGACTTTGCAGTGATGCTTTGGTTTCTCATTTTCGGGGGGAAGAAGGGAGGGAGGGGAGGGGTTTGGTGGGTGGATTTGCCTTGGGAAAAGTGTCCAGGAATGGCTTTCTCTCCCTCGATTATATTTTTAGTAAAGGTGCCAAGAATCGGTATTTTCATAGAATAAAAGCCCGGGGTTTATTTGGAAATCTTCAGTTTCCTGTTTCTGTATCCTGTTACCACAGTAACAAGACTGCTTAGGATTGTAGGTTTTTAAGAAGTTTTGATTTAATAGTGAGTAGCTATTGCAGATGGCAGGAACCACTGTCTGTGTGCTCTAGTGCTCCGTGTTCAAATGAAAGAGCCCTTAGCTGCCCTTTCGGTGAGCCTGCGTTTGCATGGCCACCTTAGCCCTGAAACTCCTTCTTTCCCACCTCCCAGGAGAGGACTGGAGGACACACAGTCATGCCAGGGGAGGAGAGCCCTCTAGTGGAAAGCCATCCGGGCCCACGGAGAGCAGGAAAGCAAGCTGAGCAGTCACGGAGGCTTGTTAAATTTAGTCCTGTGAGTTGGACTGCGTCATGCAAACGTGACGTGCCTTGCCACGTCCTCCCACTGATTTGGAAGGTGTTTATCCACAAACCTGTCCTGTGGACTCATCGAGAATATCCTGAGACCTGTGCGAAGTCAGGAATCTGTCCGAAAGCATAACCCTGAGGACGTACAACGTTGTTCACAGCCCTTCCCGAAAAGCCTGGGTGGGCTAGGTGGAGTGGGAGGGTGAATTCTGATATGGAGATGACGCCCCGCAGGTCACTAGGGCTAAGCGTGCTCCTCTCCAGTCTTTACGCAGAAGAACGCCCCTTTCTCACTCTGCCTTCCTCGGGGCCAGCACCTGAGCCGGGTTGTGACGTTCATTTTAATTCATTTTAATTCATGGTGCTGGTCACCTTGCAACTAGGAAGAAAGTGACAGAGGACATTCTCCCTGACCCCTGACCATGACACATGTCTGAGATTACAGGGCCAGGTTCCTGAGAAGATGTTCCTACCCTCTTGGCTAGGGTCATGATCCTTCTGATGATCCTTTCTTCCTGTCACTAATGATTTATGAACCACCTTTTAAAATAAAATTTAAAAATCTCAAAACTTTGCAGTTTAAAATAACGTAGTGATTCTAATGTTTTATATGTGTGGGGGTTTCAAGCATGCTATGTGGGAAACCCCCTGTGTGCATGTGTGTGCTTACATGCATTCCTGGGAACGATGGAGCAGTAGGGTTGGGGTGCCTAGCTCAGACCTCTACTGTTGGCCATGAGCCCTTCTCAGGAATTCAAAGGGCTTGTCTCCCGGCAATGAGAACCGACTCTGAACTTGTGTCCTTCCGATTCATCATGCGGTAGTCGGCCAGGAAAATGCTGACTCAGCACATTTTAGCTAAACCCACAGTTGACTTCATTTATGGCCTCAAAACCAGTTCTTATTGAGACACAGTGGGCCACCCACAGCAGGGAGGATGAGTACCACGCTACTTAGTGCCACTCAGGAGAATAGCCCAGGGCACAACAGGGCCACAGGACCACCTCCGTCATCAAGCTGGGCTCAGCAAAGGCGTGGTCCAGAGGGCACCTGGGACGCCGGGCAGCGATCACCCAGAATCCCGCAGCCTGGGTCAGGAGCATCCAGACTGACGCTCAGGCCTGCATGTGGCCTTAGCCATGAGGAGGAAGAGGGCCTGTGACTTAGGCTTCCTTGAGACTTATAGGGCTGTGAGCCCAAGAGAGTCCATGCTGGGTTCCCAGGGAGAGGAGTGTGGGCAGCAGGAGCTAAGTGTCCACCGCGTCCTGTGGGTAAATGCTTAGGACCCAGGTGGGACGGCCTTAGGAATGGTGGGGGCAGGGCAAGCAGGCGAGGTGGACTATGGAGGGAAACCTCACAGCAGACAGGACTTTGGGCTTCTCTGCACATGTTCCGTGTGATTCTAATTGCATCCCTCCCCCTCCCTTCCAGGCGAGTACAGAAGCTTCCAGCTTGAGAAAGGCCGATCCCAAAGGTCGAAGTGCACTGTTGGCTGACATCCAGCAAGGAACTCGCCTTCGGAAAGTCACGCAGATCAATGACCGCAGCGCCCCGCAAATCGAGAGTAAGTGCGCACGTGGGCCAGGACTGCCCCTAGCCTCGGGAGCATGGGAGCTCAGACAGACACCCCCGGCTCGCTCAGGGCAGGGGCCTCGTCTGTTACCAGGACAACATCGGACCCTCTCAGGCCTGCTCGGTGTGCAGGCCACATGGGAGAGTCATAGCTTCCCTCCAGGTGTGCAGGCAGTGTGTGGGGCATCCTCAGTCATCACGCCAGTGCTTAAAAATATCACAATCGCCGAAACGGTTTGGCTCAGTGTTAGAGCGTCGGTCTGCGGACTGAAAGGTCCCAGATTCGATTCCGGTCAAGGGTATGTACATCGGTTGCGGGCACATCCCCGGTAGGGGGTGTGCAAGAGGCAGCTGGTCGATGTTTCTCTCTCATCGACGTTTCTAGTTCTCTATCTCTCTCCCTTCCTCTCTGTAAGAAATCAATAAAATATATTTTTTAAAAATATCACAATCATTATAAAATACATAGTCTGTAACATTCACCATTGTAACCATTGGAAGTGTTCGATTCAGTGGCATTTAAACATTCACAGTGTGATTGCAGCCATCGCCTTCTTCTAATTCCAGAACATTCCATCACCCCGGAAGGAAACCCCGTATCCATCAGCAGTCACTCCCTTTTCCCCTCAGCCCCCAGTCCCTGGCAACCACTAAGTCTACTTTCTGCCTCTATGGATGCTTTTATGGAGCAGCATGTTTTCAAGGCCCATCCATATAGCAGGAACCAGTCTTTCATTCCTTTTGATTGTTGACTAATACTTCATTTTAGGATATACCACTTGGTGTTTATCCCCTGTGGGGTAACATTTAAACTTGGTTGTGTCAAAATAGTCCTCAAACTCAATGAGAGAAAACATAGAGTCTCAACATTAAAAAGTGCAGAGTTTCTGTTTGGCACAAGGGAAAAGGTGTATTTGGTATTCCCTCACAGGCTCAAAGGACTGAGTTTTCTATGTCTTCTAGAATATGAGAGGGTGAATGGAGCCCTGGGCTCGGGTCAGGTGACTTCTGATTCTGCTACTGGGCCAGCCAGGGAACCTCTTCGGGACTCAGTGTTCTCACCTGCAAAATGGGAGAGAGAATAATACCTGCTCTTTTTCGTATGTGTCAGGATAGTGGAAGGCTGAAATAATATATGTGAAGCTGTTTATCAATGCCACGTATTATTATGTCTTCACCCATTTTTCACTGGTGAGCATGATGTCAATTCTCAAAAGGTAGTCCCAAAAATATAATTGTATCTAGTATCTATAATTATATATGTTAACTAGAGGCCTGGTGTACGAATTAGTGCATGGGTGGAATCCCTCAGCTGACCAGCAATGTGGGCTGATCAGGGTCCATTGGGGCTGGCCAGCTTGGGGGAGGGATCCCAGGAGGTTGGCCAGCTATGGGAGGTTGACTGTGGGAGTACACTGACCACCAGGGGGCAGCTCCTGCATTGAGTGTCTGCCCCCTGATGGTCAGTGTGTGTCATAGCTACCAGCTGGTCATCCTATGGTAACAGTCACTTAGGCTTTTACATATATAGGTACTCAAGGATAGACAAATTAAGAAATCTTTCCAACAGTTACAATAAAAGTCTAGTTTCTGGCTAGACCCGCTAACTAACTAACTGGTTAAGCCCAGTGAACAGAGAAGTTCATTTTGTAGGAACACTCGCTTCCTAATCATTGCAATGAGCAGGTAATAGAAAATACTGGTATTTAGAATAATCTGGCCATGTTTGTCCACCAGTGGGCACTCTGCCTTCATTTCTCCACATTAGCACAATAGCCTTAGGTGGCCCTGGTTTTCTGTCAGGAATCCTTGTCTAAGCTGAACGTCTCCTCATCGTATGTAGATGGTATCACACGCGTCTGAAAGGCTGAAAGTAGTGACGCCTCTCCTCCAGGTCCTTCCGTAGATGGAAAGGTGCAGGGACAGGTGCAGGGCTGGGGCAGGAAAGGAAAAACGCTGAAGCACAAGACATTGCGTGGCTTCACTTCCTGCCTGCAGTTCGGGGCCAGGCTCCGAAGGAAGTTACAATTACTGTCTGCATTAAATCTGCGGGTTCTCCCTGGCTGGTTCTCCCACAGCCACAGTCAAGTTGAAAACAGGACCAGCCCTGCACCAATGACGTTTGGGTTTTCTCATCTGAGAGGCATCGCTGGTTCCTCTGTTGGCATCTACTCACCGGCAGTGGACAGACCCCTGGGTTCCAGTCACTTTTCAGAGTTCCTGGTCCTTTGGTAGACCCAGCGAGGGCAGCACACAGACCCGGGCATCAGCCTGCAGGGCATCAAGGCACAGGGTGCTTGGGAAAGATGCCGTCAGGAAGGGTAGCACTGCAGATGAGCGGATGACGGGAGGCTGTCCCCCTGGCAGGGTCTGACCGTGGCCCGGGTGAGAATTGGCGGCTCCACTCTGCTCACAAGTCCTGTCTACTGGTCCCTTCTCTCTGCAGGTCCTAAAGGAGCCAACAAAGAAGGAGGAGGTGCTGCAAACTCTCGAGGAGGGAGCACGCCCCCAGCCCTGGGAGATCTGTTTGCTGGCGGCTTCCCTGTGCTGCGACCGGCAGGCCAGAGGGATGCAGCAGGTAAGGAGGCAGCTGGACTGGCTCTCTGGTGACCTTCGTCTCCTTCGCCTGTAGACCCGCCTGGGCCACCCTTCCCCTGCCAGTGAGCGACATGTCTTCAGTGAAGAGCTGCGGTAGGAGATCATGCCTTTGGGAGCCAAGCACCGCAAGTTTCCAAAGCCCAGAACTGTGTGCGAGGGATCTTTTAAATCACCCTTTTGTTTAAATCCTCCTCTTGTAGTAAATGAAGGATGACTGGCCATGGTGCACAGTGTTTAGTGATGGAGTGACTGTGGCCCAGACTGCGAAGTACAGGCAGAAGGTGTAAATCACGTTAGTGGCATCGCTGTGGCCTCCCTGGCAATGAATGAGTCATAAAGAGTCTCAGTCACTGTAGTAGTTAGTATTGCTGTGTAACAAAAATGCCCTAAACCAGTGGTCGGCAAACTCATTAGTCAACGGAGCCAAATATCAACAGTACAACAACTGAAATTTCTTTTTAGAGCCAAATTTTTTAAACTTAAACTATATAGGTAGGAACGTTGTTATTAACTTAATTAGGGTCCTCCTAAGCTGGCCTTTGCTAAAAACTCAAGGGGCCAAAGAGCCGAATGTGGCTCACGAGCCACAGTTTGCCGACCACTGCCCTAAAACAGGGGCTTTTAACAACCATTTGGTTAGCTTTTGATTCGTGAGTTGGCAATGCAGGGTGGTCTCAGCTGGCCCCCTTCTAGTATCTACGGTTGGGGAGGTGTCTCTGTTTATCTTATATCTTTGGTGCCTCAGCTGGGACTGCTGGCCGGACTGAGCCATAAGGTCCCTCACTCTGTAGCAGGCTGTTCGGAGTTTGTTTTCATAGTGGTGACAAGGTCCCAACAGAGAGGACAGGAGCATATAAAGTCTCTTGAGGCTTAGATTTGGAATTGGCATAGGATTGCTTCCTATTACATCCCCTTTTCCAAAGCAAGTCCCAAGGCCGGGCGGAAACAAGAGTGGGGAAAGACGCTTCATCTCTTGGTGAGAGGAGGTGTAAGATCACATTTAAAGATTTTACAACCAGGAATGAGTGGCTAATCATTTTTGCAAGCAGTCTACCAGTCATTTGTGTCCTAGTGGAAGTCATGTTTTTAAAATATTGCATTGGAATTAGGAAAATATATATTTACTGTGTGCAAAAACTATGTTGGTTTTGTTTTTTTTAATAAACGCAATGAATTTCATATCGAGCCCCCAAAATTCCTGGTGTAGAATCTTCTACCGTGTGACTCTGCTCACTTTCTTTTGGGCTCTGTGGCTGTTTGGCATAGGGATGCATTTGCTGCCGTCACCTATTGATAAAGTGCAGCACAGACAAGGGCTGTAGGATGCTTTGAAATCCATTTGAACCTTCTCAGAGGCCATTTTATTTAATCAATTTTGCTGAGTGTTTGTCAGACAAGAAAGCCCCAAGGTCATCCTGAGACCTGGCATTCTTCTGCGCCCATGTTTTTTCAAACTTCCTTCATGGTGTCAAAGAAATATCGTTTGGGATATAAAAATTCCACTTGTTTCTCTTCTCAGAAATAAACCCAATTAGCTTATAACAGGGATCAGACTATTTCTACTTGTCTCCAGTAGGACACACACGTCAGGTGTTTGAGCCACAGTATGAAGTGGAGCACTGATCTCTTTAGAGATCATGATGACATGACTAAGGATGCTGGCAACAGGAGGGAAACACAAGGTCAAGACCAATAGGTAGATGCATGGGCTTAGTGTCATGTCAAGGTGAGATACCATGGCTCTTCTCTCTCAAAACCCTCCCATCGGCCCCCTTGTCATTCAGAGAAAAGGACTTGGGCCTTGGCTGTGTCTCTGGTCTTCTTGCCTCCCATTCTTGCCGGCTCACGCCCTGCACTCCAGCCTCACCCTGCCCTCCTTGCTGTTCTAGCATAAACCAGGTATATTGCTGCCACAGGGCCCTTGCACTGACTGCTCCCTTGGCCTGAAACACTCCTCCTCAGGTGTCCACATGGCTCACTGTCTCCCTTCCTTCAGATCTCTGCTCATGTGGCATCTGATCAGCCTATCAATGGGGCGTCACTCATCATCCATATAAAATTCGTCCCACTCTGTCATTCTGTAGCTCCTCTATTTTGACTTATTTTTCTTGTATTACTTACCACCATGGGACACATTATACATTTACCGGTTTATTTTGTGCCTTCTCTCTCGAAGTGTGTTCTCTGTGAAGGCAGGAACTGTGACCTGTTCACTGCCTTAAAAATGCCTGGCACGTAGTGGGTGCTCAGTAAATATCTGTTGAATGAACAGTGTGAGTGGGCAGTATGGTTGCTTGGAGCCATCAGGACCAGAGAGCACAGTACCTAGTGCTCACAGTACTTTTAGGGGCCCGTGAAAACATGTTCATTTCTCTTAAAGTCGAGTGTGTAATGAGACCTCGTGCCGGCCAGGTTTTTTGGAAACATGTGCACGTTGAAAGATGACTGACTTCACCTTCTGATAACCCCTGGGCTCTGGCCGCTAATTCCTCTCCTCTCAGCGCAGCCTCCTGAGTGCACTCCAGCTGGCCCTTCCCCGCCCGCCTCGTGGTCTCCTGTGTTTCTGTTTGGGTTTCTGGGGCCAGCGCTTCTGCTGCGTTGGAAAGTCTCCCCCTCCCTTCCCGTGGCACTCTGTGCCGAGCGCTCCGCTGGCCCGGTGCCTGGCTGCTTTCATCACCTGCACTCACACCATCAGCTCCTCTCGCCCCCGTCGGGCTCACCTCACATGCACGTTGCCAGCTCTGCGCGTGATCCCAGGGTGGGCATGAATGCAAGCCGAGGGAGGATCAGTGCCCCCCTCGCTCTTGTTCCTCGGGCTGCGATAAAAACGGGCTTGCCCGTGTCTTGTTTGTCTGGCTGCATAGTAAGCAGAGGCTCCTGTCCTTGGAATGGACTCGCTTTACAGGGTTTTGAAACTTGGAGACATGGTGTGCTCAGCCACTTAGAAAGTTTGGGTTGGCCACTCGGCTTCCCTCCCATCGTGTTCAGCCCCTGGTTGGGAAAACACATGGACATTGACTGACAGGCTCAGACCCACCAGCAGAGGCTGGGGTAGGAATCTGATGCGAAAGCTGTGTTTCTGATTCCGCAGCCCCGGGAAGTTGGAGGTGTGGGAGCATGCATGTTTTCAAGGGCTTTCCACAGGTTTTCTTTCTTTTCTTTCTTTTTTTTTTTTTTTTTTAATTTCAGAGAGGCAAGGAGAAAGAAAGAAATATCAATGATGAGAAAAAATCATTGACTGGCTGCCTCCTGCACATCCCCTACTGGAGGGAGCGTGGGTGGGGAGATCGAGCCCGCAACCCAGGCATATGCTCTTGACCAGAATCGAACCTGGGTCCCTTCAGTCTGCAGCCAACGCTCTATCCACTGAGCCACACCGGCCAGGGCTACATGTTTTCTTGGGGATTATAAAACAGAAGGGTGCTGAAACGGGGGGAAAAGCATTCCCCAGAATTCCTCTTAGTGAGAGCTCTGTATTTGTTGTGAAGAAATACTTTTAATGCCTCCTAAATGGAAGCATCGGTGACGACAAAACTTCTGCACAGCAAACAGGGACAGAGGGACAGAACTCACACTGTGACGCAGAGCTGACTGCAGGTGCTGACTGCAGGCCTCGTGTGGCTGAATCCATGAGGCTCTGGGCTTCGCGTTGGGGCCGATGTGGTGGAGGCTCCTGGGGTGAAGTTCAAAGTCATTGGACCCGGATCCCCAAGGGCCTGGATCTTCCCACGGGCTTTGGACTTAACCTTATTATGTTCCGGGAAGCAGGAAGCTTCTGCTCTCGATGCAAAATCCTTGTTCACGAACTCAGGGAGTGCGGAACACCCCCCTCACCAGGAGAGTCTGGTTGTCACCCGAGGGCCTGGGCCGATGGACCCAGTGGGCAAGCATGAATGAGTGTGAGGTGACCGTGAGGAGAGGAAGGCCCGAGGCCCTGGCAGGTGCGGGCCTGGTGGAGGCAGTAGGAAGGCTGGTGGCTGAGCTGGGCTCCTCTCCGAGGAGGACAGCACGGCGATGCTGGCAAGGACCCTGCGGCCTCTCGATGGACGTGCAGGGAGAATGCGATTCGCCCATGTCCTGCCTGAGAGCCCTGGGCATCGCCGCCTGCACACCCGGGCTTTCCCTTCCCTCTGTCCCTGAGCTAACTCTTAACTCGTTTCCCTTCCAGGCAGCAAGACAGGGCAGGCCCCTGGCTCCCGAGCGCCTTCTCCCCGGCTTCCCACCAAAACTATGGGCGGGCCGCTCACCGCCCCTGCGTCTCCCAGGCTAGGTACTGCTTCCGAGGCCAGGGCGGCCCCCGCTCGCCCCAGCATGCCTGCCCCACCCCCTCCCACCCTGCCCCCACCACCCCCGCCGCTGCCCCCGCCCCTGCCCCCTTCCTCCCCCATCAGAACTCCGCTGGTGTCCCCACCTGGCTCACAGACCAAAGGGAATGCCCTGGCAGCCACACCCGCCCTGCCCTCTGCACCGCCCTCTGCCCCCCCTCCGCCTCCCCCTCCACCCCCGCCACCTCCCCCAACGCCACCCCCTCTCCCCCAGACCCCCATCTTCAGTGACAGGACCGTGAAGCCGCAGCTAGCCCCCTTGCACTTACCGCCCGTCCCGCCCCCGCTGCCTCTCCTCCCGCCCTGCGGGCACCCAGGGCTCCATGCAGATGCTGCCAGCCCCACCCAAGATGCCCGGGAGCCTCCCGTCCCGCCCCCGCCGCCCCCGCCCCCGCCCCCACCCCCACCACCTCTCCCCATTTACGCCACCTGCACCCCGAAGTCCTTGGTGCCATCATCGCCCCCAGTGCCAGGCCCTAACAACAGCAGCGAAGCCCCACCCCCACTGCCCCCCAAGTCCCCCAGCTTCCAGGCACAGCCCCCGAAGGCCAGCGTGCAGGCCTTGCCCACCCCGCCCGCCCCGCCTGGACAGCCCTTCCTGCAGAAGAAGAGGCCAGGCCGAGGCCCAGGTGAGCGCCACCCACTGTCCTGTCCGGGTCCAGGGTGGCCAGATGGGAGGGTCACCAGGCGTTGCTGGCCATCGGGGAGGTGCGCCAGAGACCAGCTCCTGTGAGCCGCTCGGGACGACCTTGCGGATGTCTTACGCTGGGATTTGGGTTGAGAACAGACCTATTCAGTGCCCCCATGGAGCAAAATGAAGCCTGGCTGTGGGACTTTAGCTGGGGTGTTCCTGTGAGAGGCAGGAAACCAAGGCTGAGGGGGGCTGGGAGACCTGTCCAAGGTGATGCAGGTCACAGACAGGGAGCCTGACCCAGATCCCCTTGCCTTTCCTAGCTGTGTGACCCTGACCATCACAGCCTCCCAGTGCTCCCTTCGCCCCTGGGAAGGGGGAATAGCACAGCGCCCCCTCAGGCGGTTGTTGGAACAGGCCCGACAGCAGTGAGATCTAGCGGGGGTTTGGTGTGTTTGCTTCAGAACCAGCTTCCTGTTCAATTTTTCCTGAGTTATTTCATCCTGGCTCCCCGCTAGCACGTCCCAAGCCCTCCAGAGGTTGGATCAGTATTCTGTCTCTTTTTGTTGTTGTTTTTTTGGCAGGTTCTCCTGCTGACTCAAGGAAATGAGGGGTCCGTATTTCAGCCAGATATCAGAAGGAATTCCTTTAACTCCCCAGGGGTGGTGATTAGGACTGAGCATTCCCACCTGCCCCATGACTGATGTCCATGCGGCGGAACGGCTTCAGTCACTCTTAGTGTCTGTCTGAATGGGAAGCACACACATGCAAACACACTCATAAATACCCCAACTTTATATTTCACATGCACCCAACACACATGGACATGTATGCACATATTCCAAAAAAGTTCTTTGATGCATAGTTTCTTAAATGTGTTTATTCGCATTAAAAATAACACAAGCTCATGGTAGAGCAAATAGGAAAACATTTATCTCACCTGTAATATCATCACTCAGAAATAAAAAGTCATATTTGGATGCGTTTTATTTCTTTCTTTCTGAATGTACCTGTGTATTTTCATAGTTAATACCATTTTATATATACTTTTTTAAAAGCAATTTGTCAAATCTTTAAAACTTATTTACAAGCGTATTAATAGGCTAATCAGTATGTACTATATCTTTAGTGTTAGATATTAAAGTTGATTCCATTTTTTGGTTATTGTGAATATTACAGGAAATACTTTTATAGCAGTGGTTCCTTTTTTGGGGGGCTATGCCATCTGATGATGAGGATGGTCATTGTCATTAGGTTATTGCAGCAGCTAACATTTATTGAGCCCTTACTACACACGACTTCCTTCAGTCAACAACTCTAGCAGCTGTGTGTGTGCTATTATCATTCCTGTTAGACAGAGGAGAAAACTGAGGCACAAAGAGGTCATGTTATCATTCCAGCGGGAGAACTGGGGTTCAGTCCAAGCAGGTTGGCTCCGGCAGTGGCCTTTCTCCTCACCCTATCATCTCACATCCGAAGGTCTCCATAGCTCCCCCCTCGCAGCAGGTCACAGCAGCGACTGTCCCCATGCACTCTAGTGTCTGAATACACCCATCATCTTCCCTGGCAGGTACCAGTGGGGGAAGGCTGAACCCACCCCCAGCACCTCCTGCGAGATCCCCCACCACAGAGCTTTCCAGCAGGAGCCAGCAGGCCCCAGGCTGGGCCCCGACCCCGCAGCCGGGAGGCCAGCTGTGGAATGGAGGCCTGCACATCATCGGTAAGCGGGGCCGGGAGTTGCCGCTCTGGCCGCCAGGGAGCGGGTGGTTCCCAGTCCCAGGAGGAAGCCCGCCCACCAGGGGGCATGCTTTGCAAGAACAGGGTGCTCACTGCAGCATGGACCAGCCCACAGGTTGGGTTACATACAGGGTTTCCCTGGAGGTTTTCTGGAGGGTTCCAGAACCCACTCTTCACTCTCTGACTGGGTTTAAAGAGAGGGAAGAAAACAAACATGAAAGCCCGGTCTGTTTCCATGGAGAAACCCATGCATGGGGCTGACCAGATAGAGTGATTTGGATGAGGCGAATGAATGGACAGAAGGCCAGCAGGCAGGGGGACAATTAGGGCAAAATAGGGAGATAGGAAGGAAAGTCACGTGGATCAATGTGACCAAAAATCTTTGGGTCCCTTTGTGGGTTGAGCTTCTGTCAGACAGAAAGCCCAGATCATAAACCAGGGCCTCACTGACAAGGCCCACTTGCTTCGGGGACCCAGGTCAGTCAACAGAGACACAGGCCATGCTCCATCTCACTGGCCAGGCCCACTCCTTCCCAGCCAAGCCCTCCCAGGAGCTCAGAGGGCTCAGGCCATGGGGACTCTGCCATCCCTGTGGCTCTTCCGCTCCCTTTAGCAGCTCCCTTAAGAAGCTGGTGGGCGTACGCTAGGGTGGATGTTGGGGTGGTCTGTTGATTTAATTTTTCCTGATTCCCCTTGCCCCAGCGAAACAGTAAAAATGGGGAAGGGGATGGTGGTCTGGGGAGTACAGCCCCGCCATTGACACCCTAGCACTGGGCAGGCCAACCTGTGTGCCCCAGGAAATCCCCCAACTGGGGTCCTCACAGGAACTGAGTAACCGTGCCTTTCCCCCCGTGTGCAGATGACTTCGAGTCTAAATTCACGTTCCATTCCGTGGAAGACTTCCCGCCTCCGGATGAGTATAAGCCCTGCCAGAAGGTGTACCCCAGCAAGATCCCCAGGAGTAAGTACCGCCTTCACCATGCCAGGGCCCCCGGTTCTCCCGGACTCTCCAGCACTCGGTGCTTGGCGTGTGTCCTCTGGGTACAGGCTGCCACTCGGAGATTGCCAAGTTCTGCCTCTCCGTGCTGGACAGTGATACAGTGCCGTCCACACAGCTGAAGTTCCAGAACACGGATCAGCCCCAGTCCCCAAGCCTTCACTTAGAGGCCTTCACACAATACCAGAGTTAATCGTTTAATCATATTTGGGTGAATTCACCACTCATCCCTCCGCTCTCTGGGGCTTTTGACTAGGGAGCTAAACACCCCAAGGAAAATGGGATGTAGGCACTTTGCATCAGTAGCCTGGAAGAACCCTAAAAGCCCCCTTTCTGGCAGACAGTGAAATGAGAGTGTCCTCAGGCCAATGGTCCTCAACCTTGGCTACACAGTAGAATGACCTAGAGAACTTAAAAACCATAAAGGGCAGGTTGCACTAGACCAACCAAGTTAGAATTCGTAGGTAGGGCCAGGGTGTTGGCCATTTCGAAAGCTGCCCGTCTATTCCAACATCCAGCTGAGGTTGACGGTCTCCCCCAGTGACAGCAGGACCACCGTTCGGAACACCTGACTCGGGAGAAGCCCTCACAGGAACGTCGGGGAATGTGGATTTAAAACTCAGCTAGCAATAAAAGTGTATGAAAAATAAATAAGTAAAACTCAGCTGGACCAGTGAGACCACATATATGCATATGTGTGCATATACCTACACGGTAAATCCCAAGTGGAAAAGTATCTGGAGGAATAAACACCAAACTAGCGGTGACTCTGGGATGGGAAAATTGGGCTTGGGTGGAGGGCTAGGCAGAGAGGGCCACTTCAGGTTGGTTTTCTTTCCCTGCTCCGTTCTTCTGTATTTGGATTCTCTATTGTGAAAATACAGTTATATACACTGAGTGGCCAGATTATTACGATCTCTGAACACATAATCATCTGGCCACTGAGTCTGTAACTTGTGTAATAGATATTTCAACATAATGCATTTCAGAGAAGGAGCGGGGTCCCGGTGGGACAGAGGGTGACTGTCAGACTGTACTTACCTTTGGCTCTTTTTTAAAGGAAGGCCAGTGCTGTGTGTGGCACGTTCGGGTGCCGGGCTGGCGGGTGTCTGAGCTGAGATGCTCTCCGTGTAGACACTGAGACGACAGGCCTCCGTGGCTTGTCCCCCCCCCCCCCATTCCACCCCCACCCCAGCATGCGGGACGTGGCCCATGGACGCGCAGCCCCGGGCCAGCCGCTGCAGGTCTCAGGCGGGCCGGCCGCTGTCAGCGCCGTGAGCACCGTTCTAGCCTGGGTCTCTGAGCCGTGCACGGCCGGGCCCTGCGCCAGCAGATGGTGAGATTGCCCCTGTGCCTTTCAGGCCGTACACCTGGTCCCTGGCTCCACGCCGAGGCTGCCGGGCAGAGCTCCGATGACATCAAAGGCAGAAACTCTCAGGTAACGCGTCCCTCGGGCCCCTCGGAGATGGTGCGGGTATGACTTCTCCTAACGGCTTCACCTCTTTCCTCCGGGAGAGCCGCGGGGTGACACTGCGAACCTCAAAACCTAAAGGGTGCGGGTGGGGGTGGTCCCTGGAATCGCCACCACAGAAACCCCTGTGGACTCGTCCTGCAGTCACGCCGTCCGCTCCCCACGCACTCTGCCCTCCTGTGTCCGCTCGAGAAGCCTGAGAGAGTGCAGTAACGTTTATAAACACAATTCCATGTTCTCTCTCATACCTAGAACACATGGTTTCTTACCCTGGGGGGAGGGGGGGTTCTTCACCCACCAATATTATAATGTGTTTTTTTAACGCTCTTTATTGAGCATTTTTGTTTGAAATTTCTCGCTCAAGCCAGGCTGTGGGAAACAGAAAAGGAGCTGGAGAATGCTTGATCCTATACATGTTTTATACAGTGGCATTAGGCCCCCACCTGTCAGGAACTACATGTCCCATTTCACCCCTTTTCCACCACGGCCCCCCGGGAAAAATCAGCTCCTTGCGTATGAGGGGGCGTCAGGCCCTGGCAGCCTGGCAGGGGGCGAGAGCTTCAGTGCCCGGCCCTGGGGGGAGCAGGGAGGGTGTCACCTGTGTGCAGAGCCTTCTAACCCCCCCTGGCCATGCTCTCGTGTTTCCACAGTTAGCTCTGAAGACGCTCCGGTGAGAAGACCGAGGAAGCCAGCGTCCTGCAAGCCCCCGGGGCTCCCCACGGCGGACGGGCGGCCCAGGAGGCCGGGTTGGACCTCACCGAACGCCAGTTGCAATGCAGATGACATTCAGGCTCCGCACGGAGCCTTTATTTATTGTAAATACGTGGTTTGCACAGGCTTTACATCGGTATCTTACTCGACTTTCATTTTGTAAAGAGAAAGCCACTCTCCCCGTTTCTCCGTTTTTTTCAAAATGCATCTCGGCATCCACCTGCTGGTGCAGATGGAGCCCAGCCCCGCCCACCCTGCCGTGTCTGTCCCGAGACGTGAGCACCGTGCAGGCCGGCCCCGCCCGCACGGACCCGTGTTTAGAAGATTCCTTGATTTGCCCCACAGTCACGGCACCCACGGTGGCTTCTGATCGGCATGATTTTGTATCCTCAGCACACAGACCGCAGAGTCAAACCAGACAATGCCTTAGACAGGACACGCTCAGAGCCCCGAGCGTCCCCTCGCCCAGACGACGCCGCTCGGCCAGCGGATGGGCGCGACACAGGGATTTTTTTTTTTCTTTTTCTGCCGAATGTAAATAGAACGCAACGTCCAGGCAGGCGTGGGCTCAGCCCCTTTTGTAAACGAACGTTCCTACAAGTGGCCAACGCTCTGTTTACAGTGCCCCTCGCGCCCGAGTCCCCTCCAGGCCCCAGCCCCTCCCTGGCGGCCAGGCCGAGGCCGGGTGAGCTTTAGGAGTTTGGGTATTTTCCCTGCGGGTGAGAAACCTGCACCACGCTCGTTTTTAGAGTAAATTCCTCATCCTATCTCAGCGGTCTTCATCTTCTCTCCCAAGTGCAGCATCTCTATGGCAAGAAGAAGTGTGGGGCTGGATGTCTGATGAATATCTGTCTCCAGTATCTGGTTCCCCACCCTCAGCCCTAGGACAGCCCCTCAGGCAAAACCTAGCTCCCTCTGAGCTAAAGGCTCCAGAGCAGACCTGGCCTGCCAGCTGGCGCCAGGCTCCTCTCTGTGGGGCAGCCACCCCGGATAGGGACAGGCCAGGGCGGGCTCCTCATGCGCTTGGCCTCAAGCTGGCGAGGGAACAGTGTGCGTGTGCTTACCGCCTGACCCCCAGTGCTCCCTGTCCGTGGAGAAGCCGGCAGTGACAGAGGAAGGGGAGAAAATGGAAGGAAACAGGCTGATCATGTCTGGTCTGTTATCAAAGTAGCCGCAGAGGAAAGGAAACGGGGAAGGAGAGTGTCCCCTCTGGAGCCAGCCTCGCCTGGGCTCCCACCCCGAGGGGTCCGTGCCCGACCACACCACCCGAAAAGGCGGCCGGAGAGGCAGTGCTGCAGGGAGCGGCCGTCTGGAGTCCCCCAGGATGCTGCCCTCCCCCGTTGTGCTTCCTCCTCCCGGCAGAAGCCAGTGAGCCAGGTCACGTGCCCTTCTCCGGGGACTAACTCAGGCCAAACTGCAACAGACATCAGTGGAAAAGGCGTTTTCCAGGTCACCGGCTCCGAGCATGGCGGCTGGGTTTCAGATGCTCTGGAAGGTTTCTGGAAGGTCAGAACCGCTTTGTTACGACAGTAGCCACACCACCTCCCTCCCGGTTGTAGGACATGATTACAGAGGATTTAATATCGTGGTTGGTGAAGAGGCCCCAAAGGTACCTGCCTATGGGCACCGCCTGCCCCGAGGTGTTTATACGTGCTCGGTCCACACTGCCGGGCTAGAAATGAAACATAAAACTATTTGAGGACAGACAGAAGGAAGAGCAGAAACCACACATCGCAATTAGCAGGGGATCTCGGGAATCCACGTCGCATCGCTGCTCGAGACCGATCACTGCATTGGGGCCCCTCGGACTCGCAGGCCGGAGGCTAACTCCCCGACAACCGATCACAGTGGTCCCCATCCTCGGAGGAGACTCCCACAGCAGGCCTGTGTCTGCGCTCCCCAGCGTTTCCCACGCGTTTTATATTGGTACACATAAACATAAACACCGCTGCAGGTTACTTCTCTGTACCTGATACACTGATGAACAGACATGTTTCTGGCCGTCTCCCTGTGGAACCTAGCATGGTCGCCAGGACAAGCTCAGGGTCAGGAGGGTTAGGGTTAGAACCAGGCCTTTCTGTACTGAGCTGGCATCCCAACTAAGCCACAGTCACAGTTCTGTCTAACGTTCCCCTGGTGTTTGTAAGCTAGCTGAATGTGTATTTGGAGAAACCAACCAAGGGAAACACTTTCTTAAATGCATATTTTTCCCCGTTTTATTGATCTGGGTAGCCCGGCCACATGGCCCAGTGGTTGAGTGTCAACGTACGAACCAGGAGGTCGCAGTTTGATTCCTGGTCAGGGCATATGGGAGAGTCATGGGCTCCATCCCCAGTGTGGGACATTCAGGAGGCAGCCGATCAATGATTCTCATCATGGATGTTTCTATCTCTCTCTCTCTGAAATCAATAAAAACATTTCAAATGTGTGTGTGTGAGTGTGTTTATGTGGAGTATATGTAGAGAATTCCTTTAACTTTTGTTTAAAAGGAACAACTTTCAACCTACGGTACACGTAGCACCCCCCAACGTAGCAAACCCCTCCAAACACCTCCCGTTTGGAGCAGCAATATCACCCCAACCGCCACGCCCATATTTTCAGTGAACTCCGAAACATGGAAAAGGGAGAGGAGGTTTGCCCACTGGGGCGCTGGTTCGGGGCAAACATCTGAACCTCTGTTCTGCCCCTTACACGTTTAGGAAAGTGAATTACTTCACCAGCCTGTGCCTCAGTTTTCTCGCCTGTAAAATGGAGACATCAATATGTACACGAGCACATAGTGGTGATGGCTCTGACACAACCCCCCCGGGCAACCCTGACCCCCACATTTATTCACGAGACACAAGGTAGGAAAGGCCACCGGACACCCGTTTCAGGTTTTTTATTATCATTATTGTATGCTGGATGTATTTAGGGACAATTCCAAGGGCAAGCACTGGGTGGGGAAGTTGTCTGGTCTGTGGATATTTGTACAAAAGGCTGTTAAGACGAGACGGTCCGTTCCCACTGCAGGAAACAGATGCTCCCTTTCGGTGCTCCCTGCCCACAGCACTGTCCAGCTCACACACTGAGCTCCTCACAACATGATCGCAAATGTGCGCACGTTCATGCCCACGAGACACCTGCACGTGACGGTTCGGGGTGTTTGACACAAACCACAGGAGGGGAGCTGGGACGCAGCGCCTGTGGGGTGAAGTGCCAGAAGCACAAAGTATTCTGGGACAGTGTGTGCCTGGGACCCCACTTCTTTCTCCTCAGACAGGATGGAATGGCCAGCGAGGTGGATCCCTCCTCCTGACGCTGTTCGCTCAGCGAAACACCTTCCCCGTGAATGCCTCGTCAGCTCCTCAGGGGAGAGTACAGCTAGTAGCTCCAGAGCACACTCCGGTCCCCCCTGGCTTCCTGCTGGGCCAGCCGCAACGTGGGGTGACATCAGTTAGGGGGCAGTTTGCGCGGTTAGTCATTATACCTACTGAGCCACGCAGGGCTGAAGGAGCCGGCTGCTACAATCGGACAGGCACAGCCCTGCTCCGCTAGCTTGTCAGGCAGACTCTAGCGATAGCACTGTGCCTTAGGTTACTGAGCCATCATTTCAAGTCTGTCCTTATTCTACCCGGAGTTCCAGCTGCTTCTGCTTTCTTCATGTTCCTTCCTGGAGGCTCGGCCGCCCCTCCCTCGGGTTCGAGGGCTGCCTTCCTCTATGGCAAATCCCTCTACTCCACAAGACAGACTGGTGCTTGGCAGTGGGGTGGGAGCGGGGAGGTGCTAACCTTGCGGCCATGTCTTCCGTCTGCAAAGCACCCCCACCCTGAGGGTGAATGGATGCGCAGATGGTGTTTTAGGAAGCTATTTACACTCTGACCCGAAATCATGATTTTACAGTTGCCTTTAGGAAAGCAATCCCCCGGTCAAGGATTTATCCACGTATTCATACGCATTTTTCAAAAGCACGGTCAGTGAGGAGCATTTAAAAAAAAAAAAAAAAAAAGCAGTGCCCTTCAGCAACAGCCTGCTCAAAACCCAGCAATATGTTTCCGGCTGCTCATCTACGGGAATAGAAGTCCCTGGAAGTGAACACGGGCACTTCGGCAGGTTGTTGGCTCTCTCCTTGCCCTTCCCTGCGATGCCCACTGTGCAAGGACTCTGCCCACTGCTAGTGCTGGGTCAGACTGTACACAGACCACCTCTGGGCCCCAGGGAAGCATCCCAGCCCGGTTGACCGGCTGTCTCGCCCTCTAGTGGTCACCCAGGGGCATCACAATTGTGATGACCAGTGTGAGCCCAGACTCCTCTCCTTCAGGGTTGGCGCTTCTCTGCAGTGCCCGGCTAAGGTCAATGCCCCCTCACAGAAGCACCCATGGTGTTTCCCACTGCACCAGGGCTGGGCAGTGGCATAAGGCTGGCTGGGTCTCCCGTGACCTTTGGCCCATAAGAATGAAAGCAGGCCTCTGGGTCCTTTATTCTCACTAGACTCCTTTGGGTAAAACCCTGGATTGCCCTGAGTATCACAGGTCTGATGCGATGTTTCCAGAACAGGTGGAGGTGAGACCTCGGGGTGAAACTCAGTGTTTTTGAAGAACCACTCTGTAGGTGGGCTTAGGGGGGTACAGGGCACCTCCGTACCCCACCCAGCCCCCTTAGCAGCCTGTGGGCAGACACTCTGAGAATGGCACCCACTCTGGAGGAGACCCTAAGGGAATCTGTAGTGAAGGCCCGAACCTGGGCGGAGGCCTCAGGGACCACAAGCCACTGCGCACAGCTGCTGCTAAGTTTGCCAGCCCCGCAGTCTTCCTCGCTGTCCCTGCCTGCAGTCAGTCATTTTCCCACAGACCTGCCGGGCAAGGAGCTCATGGTGCTCAGCAAGGGCAGCTGGTAGGAAAAAAGGTTTGTTCTGACAAAACCTGTGACCCTCGGGCCACGTCTGCATAGAGGACCCGTGTCCCTCCCAGCTCTCGTGGCCTGACAGGTTGCTTCTGGAGAGTCAGTAGGAGCAATTAGCTGCTATTCTCCATGAGCTATCTCCACCCCTTTCCTTTTTATTTTTTTAAATTTATTCGGAGAGAGAGGGAGAGAGGGAGGGAAGGAGGGAGGGAGGGAGAGAGGGAGGGAGGGAGGGAGGGAGGGAGAGAGAGAGAGAGAGAGAGAGAGAGAGAGAGAGAGAGAGAGAGAAACATCAACCATGACCTCCTGATTCATAGATCGACGCTCAATCTCTGAGCCACACTGGTCGGGCCATCTCTGCCCCCCTTCCATTCCGAGCGTCGCTGAGAGCGTCAGTGGCTGGACGTAAGCCCCCACCACCTCCACCTGCCTGCATCAGCCACCAGTCTCAAGGCAGCTGCTGGGACACGCGTGTGGGAGGGAGGGGGGCCAGCTGCTCCCTCCACAGGCTGGGCAGAGCGGGCGGGCTGGCCTGGTCCTCGGCAGCCAAATGCTTCTCCATCCATCTGTCGCCTTCCTGCCCTGTGCTCCCAGCGCTGGCCCATCTGGTCTTCCTCGCAGGCTCCGGTGGGAAGTCAGATCCTCCATGCAAACACGACGTCGAAAACAAATCGGCCTGATTGAAGCCTCTGCTGAGATAATGTTGTGGCTGCTCGGATTCCAGCCACTTCAACGAGCATCGAAACAGCCAGAAGTTTCTCCCTTTCCTCCCCGCATTAACCGAGAGCTTGGCAGCTTGGCATCCCGGAACTGTGCCAGGGGGCCCGTGGCTAGTCATTCACCTGAGCCAGGTGTCCTCAGCAGCCGGAATCACCCTGCACCGGGCGCAGCGAGGGGCGGGGGCGCTGCGGAGCCGGTGAGCCTGTGCCTTCTGGCAGCCGCAGGTGTGCCCCCTCTGCCTCGCTGCCGTGGGCGGGCCCAGCTCAGCAGCCCGCAGCCCTCCGCAGGTGGAAGCAGTTGGCAGGCCGCTGCCCACCAGCTCGGGCACAGACGACGGGTTTGTGAGGGTGGCGGGAAGCAGGACGGAGCTGGGACTGGACAGGACCCCTGCTCGCCTTCCCTCCAGACGTGTCCCTGGAAGACACACCTGGAGACTCCTGCACGACAGACACGCACTGGCATGAAGGGAGGCCAGGGAGCTCCTCCCTCGAGGCCACAGGCCAGACGCTGGGCCTCCTGTGAGCCTGGGAGAGCATCTCAGCGGGAAGACCAGACCGGAGATGCAGCTGCCCGCCCGCCTGCCCGCCCGGCCGGAGCCGGCTTCCAGGGCCCGGTGAGCGCATGTCCTCCCGAGAGGCCGATGGCCATGGTCACGGGAACACTACAGCAGCTGCTTGAGACCACGGTTAGGCACACGGGGGACAACGGGCGCACGGGGTGCGTGTCACACAGCAGAGGCCGGGACCACGTGGCAGGGGGACGTGCTGAGGTTCCAGCGGGACCGGAGTGGGGTGGGTGTCCGTCGGGTCTGGCTTCGGAAAAGGGACACCGGCCGCTGCAGGGCCTCTCTGGCCTTCCTCCCGCGGACAGCGCGGTGCTGCTGGTAAGTTAGTAGGTGGGGAGCTTTGGATACGAGGGGGAGGGCGCACCCGCTTCACTTAAAGAACTTGATCTCCGTGTCCACGCAGTCATAGAAAAGGTCCCCCACCTCGGCGGGGTCCGGGGGCGTGGGGCCGGCCAGGATCTCCTCCATGGCCTCCAGGCCCTGCCTCTCCAGCTCCAGCATGGTCCTCCGCAGCCTGCGGCCCTGCTCCTGGGGAGCACAAGGGGGTGGGGGGTCATTGCCACGAACACTGAAAGCCTCCTGGGGTGGGGGACCCTCTTCAGTGCCCCCTACATGACCGCCACAGGGATCCTTCAGATGCCACCGTGGACGTCACTGCTCTGCTTGGCAGGCCTGCTGGCTTACGCTGCTTCAGGTACATCCTGAGTGGCACCCCCGAAGGCTGGGGGGACACACAAGGATCTTCCTTGGCCTCTAGCCACGCCCCTTCTACTCAGCCAGACTGAATGGGCTGCCTCCCTCCTGCCCGCCCCCCCAACCACCGCCCGGGCCAGCGTGTCACCCCGGGGCCTGGTCAGCTGCACCCCTCTCCTCTGGGCTCCCAGTGCAGGGTCTTTCTCTGCACGGCCGCTCCCCTGTCCCGGGAAGCTCTGTCTCCTGGCCTGTGTCCCCGTTAGACCCTGGGCTCCAGGCGCCAGTGCCTGGGACGTGGGAGCACAGTAAGTCCCCGAGGGGACGCTGCTGTCACTGCCCCCGGACTCACACCAGCGGTCATTTCCACATTTCAAAGCCTGCCCCCCTCACCCGTCTCAGCTCTGGAGTTTGGGGTAGACGCTCAGCCCACACGGCCCTTACTGCCTCTGCCTCCTGCGGCCTAGTCCACAAAACCGAGCACGGACAGGGGCGCTTCCCCCCAGGGGTCACCGTCCCCACCTAGAAAACACCACTGGCAGAGGCAGCAGCGGTGCGGACTCCGGGGACAGCGGGCAACCAGACAGACGTGAGGCAGCCGGTGGCCTGGAGGTGCGGGCTCTGGGACTCCTGAGCCTGCCCTGCTCAGAGAGGCGGTCAGAACCCCCTGGGCTGCCACCCGGGTTGCCTCCTCTGTGTCCCCTGTGCTCACCCGGCCCACACAGGACGCGTGCCCTGTTCACCTAAAGGGGCCCTTCCTTCCCAGCTGTGCCCTGAGCTCTGGGGGGTGGGGGGGGGCCTGGCATACATGCCTGGTCCTTCCCCGGCCCCTCCACCCAGTACAGCAGGGCTGACAGGAGTGCCAGCAGGCTGCTGAGGATGGCCGGAGCGGCCTGGGTTTGAATTCACGTCTCAGAACTTCCAGTTCCAAAGCCTTGGGCGGGGCAGGGGACCTGCCCTTTAAAGACGAACTTCTTTTTAACTGAAAACTTGAGAATCTTATTTTATTGTCATAAAACGTATATCCCACCTGAGCCCTTCTCATCGTACTGTTTAGTTGGCGTTAGGTACAGTCGCATTGTTGTGGGGCCCTATCCAACTCCAGGACTTTGGGGAAGAATCCGGTTTTTTAAACATCTTTAAAGTGATGCCGCCACACACAAACTTGTGTCCCCAAAAGTGTACAAAGCACAGTGGGGGGCAGAGAAGCCGCTGAGCCCACTGGGCTCCAGAATAACACAGAAGCAGGGGCTCCGGTTTCTGTCAGAGGCCTGGTGGGAAAGTGAACCCCGCGTCCCGGGAGGGGCCCTGGGAGTTGGATTGTGGGGAGGAGGGGGGGTGAGTTGTTCCCTGCTCTCCTGGCCGTGCTCGCTGACCCGCCACTGTCCCCGGCCCGGCCCCGGCCCAGCCCACTCACCTGGCCGCTGGCGAGGACGGCGCGGGCCCACTCGTGGGCCTTGTACAGCTCGTGCCTGCGGTCTGGCTTCTCCTGGAACCGAGGCTCCCTTTTGGCCGGGTCGTCATCCCCAAAGCAGGGAGACTGTGCCTTGGGGACAAGTTTGACATCGTCCACGAAGATGAAGGGCTTGAAGATGGACCTGAGAGAGAGGAGAAGGCTTCAGCCAGGCCGGGTGGTGCTTTCACTCAGCAGCCATTTCCAGAGCCAGCCCACAGGGCTGGAGGGTGAAGAGTGGTGGGTGGTGGGTGGTGGGTGGTGGGTGGTGGATGGTGGTTGGTGGGTGGTGGATGGTGGGTGGTGGGTGGTGGGTGGTGGGTGGTGGGTGGTGGGTGGAAGGTAGACAGTGGATGGTAGAGATGGTGGGTGGAGATGGTGGATGGTGGGTGATAGGTGGTGAGTGGAGGGTGGTGGGTGGTATATGGTGGGTGGTGGGTAGTGGGTGGTGGGTGGTGGGTAGTGGGTGGTGGGTGGTGGGTGGTGGGTGGTGGGTGGTGGGTGATGGGTGGTGGGTGGAGGGCAGACAGTGGATGGTAGAGATGGTGGGTGGAGATGGTGGATGGTGGGTGATAGGTGGTGAGTGGAGAGTGGTGGGTGGTAGGTGGTGGGTGGTGGGTAGTGGGTGGTAGGTGGAGGGTGGCAGGTGGGCGCATGCCAAGAGGGACATACTGCAGGGTCTAGTGAAGGTTTCCGTGAAGTTCACTGCTACCTACAGGCTGTGGTTTCTCCTGTCCACAGGGAGGAGACGTCTAGAAAGACCTGCTCTGCTCAGGGAGCCTGTGCGGACGCTCCTCCGTGACATGGAGCGAGGCAAGTAGAGGGTCCTCTGTTCACGGGAGCGGGTAGCCTTTAGTGAATGGCTTGCTGAGAAGTGGCCTCCGGGAAGAAAGGCTCAGAGACCCTTCTCCCTCTCTCTTTTTTTTAATTCCTACCTTAGTTGAAAGATTTTGGAATAATTCTGGCTGGTTCGGGGAGGGGACAGACTGAGGTGGATGACACACAGGGAACCCGGAGAGGACAGCGAAGGGAAAGTGGAGTCTGCCTGTGAGAGTGCGGAGCTCTGGCACAGGAGTGGCCAGGCGAACACGCTCTGACTCAGCTCTTTTGGCCCCGTGGCTGATTTTAGGGAAATCACTCTGCGTGTGTGTGTGTGTGTGTGTGTGTGAACATGTACATGTGCGTGCATATCTGGACATCTTCACCTTATCTGTCTTTTTTTTCTCCTATATTTTGTGATGAATGCAATAAGCCAGTATAAAAAAAAATGTGTTTCTCTCATTTAGAAGGAAAACAAAATTACCATTTTTGATAATTCATTCATTCACTCCTCCCTTCCTTCCTTCACTCGTTCAGTAACTACATGTTGACGGCTAACTGAGTACCTAACATTGTTCTAGGAACTAAGGTTACAGCAATGAACAAGGAAGGGCAAAAGCTTCGGTCCCATCTCACAGACGAGGTGACTGAGGCTCATAGGAGCTCCGAGCTTTGTCCAGACACATTCCTAATGAGTGGCAGACCGAGAGCTAAAGCTTCCAAAGCCAAGGTCAGCTTTCCCCACTACCTCTCACCGTTACAGCATCCTGTGCCGCTACAGAAAAATGAAATACCCTGTGCTTTGGGATTGAGAATTGTAATGTCAGTGCCAGCCAACGCTTCTGACTTCAGCCTGACTCTGTTCTTACTGAGGGGGCCAACCCTCCCCCAGAAACTCAGCCAGGCTCACCCCACGCCTCAGAGGCCCCCGCAGATCCCAGGAGGGGTGCCTGGCACACACAGGAGCAGCACACGGGGCCCACTGGGATGAATCTGATAAACTTGGAACCTGGGAAGAATCTAGAATAACCAGTTGCTCTTAACTCCAATAACAAGAGGGGCTCCTTGTCCCTAATATCTGAATTAACCAGATGAGACGTCTCATAGATCCAATTTAGCCCCTCAAGCCTACTACACTGGGAGAAGGAGGAAACCACACACACACACACACACACACACACACACACACACAGACAACATATACATAGACATACACACACACACACTCACACACCATGTCCCTTGCATCTCCCCAGCTCCTTGCCACTAGTTAAAGTGCATCAAACACCCTATTTTCCTAGAACTTCCTTCCTCTTGTCTGTTTCCTGGGCAAAGTGCATGGCCTAATGCAATCAGGGAAATGGGTTGGGAAATAGCCTTCTAATATCTAAAACGGAAAGTATTTAAATTATCTTCCCCTCTTGGTTTATCCATCCTGTGTGTGGAGTGTTTGTTTCCTCAGTTGTGCGGCCTCTCAGTGGTGTTGACAACTGCATCTCTGAAAAAAAATAATAATAATAAGCCCCGCTTCCTGGTGTCTGCCAATTCCTGTGGTGTAAATACACCCACTGTGGCCCATTCCAAGTTACTGATGGGACCTCACAGAACATAGAGTCAGGAAGGCTGCACATAATCGGCTCTCACTGGCTCCAGACACTGTGTGACCGAATTGTAGAGTCTCCAAATGCCAAGGAACCTCTACCCTTTCCCTCTCTGATTCTTCACATCCATGGAGCTTGAACAAGTACTGGCCTCCAACCGGAAATGGTTTCCAAAGGTCAGAACCGGAGCACAAAAGCCCATCAATGTCACTCTATGAACGACTAAGGCACCAGCTGACACGCAGAATATTGATAAAATGGAATGTGCTTTTTCAATAACTGAATTCAAGGTCGTCTGCATGTCCCTTAGCTTGAACTCTGACTTCTGCACCTTCTTCCAGCTCTCAAGCTTACACAGTACCTGGTACTGGCTAGGAGGCGGGTGGGAGAAGATAAAGGAGGGAAGGAGGAGAGAAAAGAGAATGTGAGAACAAGGTGTTTTGAGAAGAGGATCTATAATTAATACTGTGTGCAGAGGGCGGAGAAGTGCCGCCACACACGGAGCACAGCCAGCTCGTATCCTGCGGTTTCGGACACTCACTGGGAGGGATGCATCCCACAGTCCTGCTCTTTGATCAGAACCTTTTGCAAGTGCGCTGTCCTGAAACTGCTCCCCCACACACCTCTCTGCTGCTCTCAGCATTGACAGAAGCAGCTCCAATGCCCCTCATTTTAGTACCTCAAAGCCCAAGAGGAGGTCATTGTGCTTCCTGTGACAAAATACAGAATGCTGAGCGTGCCCCATTACAGGGAAATGTGTGAATGTGGACGAGGGAAGAAACTATGACTGTCCGGCGGTCGCCATGGAAACACAGCTCATTTAACCATGGGAGACAGAAACGAATGCCTTCGGAAGGCTCTTCGTCTTCTTTAAGGCCTTTTTAATTAATGGGACTCATGAATAATTTGCTTTTAAAGTTACTTGAGATTTTCCATTTTAAATACCTGAAGGTTATTTCCCAGCCCGTTTCTCTAACTGTATTAGGCCCGGCACTTCAGCGGGGGAGTCAGACTCCCTTTATGTTACTGTCCTGGCGTCACACGGCCTGGCTTCTAGCCATTGTCAGAGCAGGCGTCTGACACAGGGGGAAGAGGGGGGTGGGGGGGAGACACGGTCATTCTTCAGTTCTTCGAAGGCTCCTGTTCCCTAAAGAACAATGTCCAATACCTCGGCAGAGCATCCAGACGCTCCCAAAGCCCACGTGTACCCTCACGGGCAGCAGCGAGCGCTCACAGGGGCTGTTGAGTCACCAGCATTGGGAGACAAGTTCTCATGCCTCTATGCTTTCGCATATGCTGTTCCCTCTACTCAGACTGTCATTCCTGCTCTTTGTCCCTCATAAACTCCAATTCTTCCCACAATGCCCAGCGCTCAAGAGTCCCTTCCTCTGTGAAGTGCTCCTCTTTGCCGTCTCTTTGTGCCACCTCTTCCCTTGCACACAGTTAGTCTCTAGTTCCCAAAAAGCACACTATGTGGTACACACTAGGTGCTTAATAAGTGCCTGTTGAATGAATAAATGAGTGAATGAAAAACTAAGAATACCTTAAACCAAGTTTAATAGTCCAATCCCGCTAGACTAGGGGTGTCGAACTCAATCAGAGAAGGGGCCAAAATCTAAAATCCAGCCTAAATCACGGGCCGAATGGTTTACTGAACAGTCATAAACTGTCATTGTGATGGAAACACAGCGGAGTGCAGTGATGACAGCGCGGTGCGGGCCACATTGCAAGGCCTGGCGGGACGGATTTGGCCCGCGGGCCTTGTGTTTGACACATGTGCGCTAGAAGTCTCTGTTGATATTGGCTATAATTTAAAACATGAGGCCCACACCTGAAACTAATGCAAACTAATATTGAGTATAAACTGCAATTGAAAAATAAAATCTCAAAAATGAGGCCCAACAAGCACATAAAAGTAGGGACTAGTATGATCCCCATTGTACAATACAGAAACAGAAGCTCAGAGATGCTACATGACGGATCCAGCTCCTAACTGACGGAGGTGGAACTCAAAATCCTGGCAGTTCATTCTCAAGGCTGATGCTCTTACCCACTGTGCAATTCCACCCCTTCGCTGAAGTTCCTGGGCAGAAAGCAACCCCTTAAAATCCAACATCTAAAAGCACTGGGCAGTGCCAGTGAAGTCACTCCCATCAGCCTGGCCTCTGGGCCATTTTGTCCTCTAACTGCAAGGGACTGGTGGTTGTGACAAGTCTTGGGCATTCCTGCCATCTCTCCGTCTCATTGTCTTGTTTAGCTTTGCATGAACACAGACAGCACCATGCCTGGCCCATGATACATAATCAGTATGTATTTGCTGAATTTAAAACCATTGGATGCCATGATTGTGATGAATGCTATGTGTCTAAAGCCGGAAACACCCCTGATTCGGAGCTCTTTCTGCTGCCCCGGCCACATTGAGAACCACTAACTCATGTGGCTCAACCACGCAAAAGGCGGGGCGGGAACTTGGTGTGTGCTTGTTGGATGAGCTTTCGAGGGCGGCGTGCGCTTTCTGCTTACACAGCTGTGTCTCAGACGAACCTGGAGGGGTCTGGGGTCCCGGTGAAGTAGTGGATGCACGGTGACCCTCTGCTCTGGGGCAGGACAGACACTACGCTGGCTGTGGTCAGGAACAACTCGGAGTCTATGCAGACGCCGCTGGCTTTGTCCCGTAAGATGTCAATCATAGTCTGCACAGTGATGCTTTCTGTAAAGACAGCGGTGGGGGAGACATCACTGCGGCAAGCTGCTAACCAAACTCCGTTCACGCCCTTCCCTTTTCTGTAATAGGACTCCTGACAGTATAGCTGAGAACACAACCGCCTCACTACAGACCATATTTCCCAGCTTCCCTTGTGGCTGGGTGTGGCCATGGGCTAAATCCTGACCAATGGGAGACAAGTGGGGATGATGTGCTCAACTTCCTTGTCACATCCCTAAAAAGGAATGCTTGCCCTTCATTTTCCTTTTCTCCCTTCCTGCTGGCTGGGAGATGCCAGTGAGTGGATCCCAAATGGAAGTCCTGTATTGAGGCAGAGACACCTACCAGTCCTGGACTGTCCATGACTTCTGGACTCTACCATGGGAGAGAAATATACTTCCATTTTCTTTAAGCACATTTGTATCAGGGTCTCTTTGATATAGCACTTAGAAATACCTCAACCAGCACAACAACACAGGAAATGATACCCATAAGAAGGTATGTGCAATTTATGTACAGTCCACCCGGCAAGCTCTCTCATGCACCCCTACTGGTTGGAATCCATACTACATTTGGAGAATGCCCTCTGTAGTGGGAAATATGCACAGAGACATATTTAGAATAGTCCAAGTCACTACGATGAGTGGCTCTGACTGTAGATAAAGAAACTAATCCTTGAATCCAGTTCTACTTTCTCTCCCTCTGGTTATAATTCATTAAAACACTATCTTTTCAGTCTTTGTTCACAAAGATGGAATCAAAGCATCTCTTAGGGAGAAGACACCTTAAAGTTCACTAGCACAACCACATCCTCCTTGTATGTTTCTATTTACAACATATCACTCCCCAAAATATTCACAATAAGTCCTCGATTTCTTCCACTACTCAGAATTCAGACCTCTTCACTGTCTCATACATGAGTTTATTGACTTGAAACAGGATCCAATAACTTGATAAAGACTCAGATCTCTTCATCTCTGCCTTGCATTTCTCTCTCTTACTTTTTATTTGTTGGACCATGTCTCCTATAGGATCCTAGTCTGAACTTTGCAGAACATATCCCCTTGGTGTTGTTTAATATGTCTGCCCATTCTTTGTATTTACCAAAAACTAGTAGCTAGATCTAGAGGTTCATTATATTTAGGTTTGATGTTTTGCCAAAAACAACTTCATACATGGTATTGTATGCTTCCATCAAGCTAGCTTTTTTATTAAAACGTTGAGGGTTTTTTTTTTTAAGAGTTCCCCATTTTAAATATGTTCATATCTTCTTGCCCAGATATATTCATCAAGTTCTACAACAAAAATCTTTAAATATTCTTCTAGGTTTAAGGGCCAGCAAACTTTTTCTTAAAGAATCAGGTAAGTATTTTAGGCTTATGGGCCATATAATCTCTGTTGTAACCTGCCTGTTGCAACTGCTCACAGAAGTAGCCATAAATAAATGGGTATGGCTGAGTTCCAATAAAATTTTAATTACAAAATAGGTGGCTGGTGACAAGGCATAGTATGCTTACCCCGATTCTATATGATCAAAGGTTTGACTTAACACGAATCACTGGCAAATAAGAAATGTGGCCATTGAGGTTTATTTGGAAGAGCTTCCACTCAGACACAAAGTAACAAGCTATCCAGTCATCATATTTACCTAAATATTGGTTCTGACTAAGTCAATAATTGGGTGGAAGACAGAGAGCTCAGGAAGAAAATTCAATTCAACAGTTAACTTCATAAATGTTCATAGAACAAAGGGCTATAACAGGCATCACAAAAGGGTCCTAAGATGAGTAAAAGACAACTCCCCTTCCCTCAAGGCCCAGCAGGCTAATAAGAGAAAATTAGGGAGGAGATAAGTCAAATATACAAATGCTGAGGTATAAGAAAGGCTGCAATAAGTATCATAGTGACATTAGTGTTTAAACAGCAGCAGGAAAATTCTGTGGATGAGAAATCATCCTGTAAGAATAAATGCAAGTTGTCATCCCATCTGAACATCAGGACCTTTAGTACAAGTTGGTCTGTACATACAAGGTCTATTCTCTACTCCTCCCCTTTGCTCACCCTCCTAAATTCTCCAAAATAGCTATAAGACAAAGGGTGTTTGAGGGAGAAAGATAAGGGATGTAATAACTCACCTTCTTGCTTTTCTAAGCTGTCTTTGCCTGCACAGCAGTGTTGATGGTCATCAGCTGGAGAAAAAACTTCAGAGAAATTGAACTCGTCCTCTCCTGTCCACCAGCCTTGACTCTGAGCATAACTCCTGAGCTCAGGATGCTCTGCATCAATCTTGGTGGTGAGTGAGAGCTGATTGCAGATGCACCTGAAGCCCTCTGCAGAAAGGGAAAGGCCCAGTTAGTTGGAAATACACTTACAGAGACGTAATCAAGAAATGGAGCCAAAACCAGTTTGGCTCAGTGGTAGAGCGTCGGTCTGTGGACTGAAAGGTCCCAGGTTCGATTTCGGTCAAGGGCATGTACCCGAGTTGCGGGCACATCCCCAGTAGGGGGTGTGCAAGAGGCAGCTGGTCGATGTTTCTCTCTCATCAACGTTTCTAGCTCTCTATCTCTCTCCCTTCCTCTCTGTAAAAAATCAATAAAATATATTTAAAAAAAAAAGAAATGGAAATGTACAGGGACTCTATCCCCTGCAACCTGACTTGAAATACAGGGATGGAATAAATTCCGTTTTTGAAGAGAGAAACAGACAGTCATTGGTCCTCTTCTGAAAAGATCTCCCAGGAGGTTTGCCCAATCCTCACTGTCATTACCACATTGTAAATGAGCAACAATCACAAGATCTTAAATCTATAATCAAAAGGAAACATGTGAGGCCCCTCCTTCTGGCTAAATAAACCCATGCATTTACTAGTTATGAGAAAAGCGAAAGGTTCTTTGAAAGAAGCATTGAGCGACTAACAAGACTTGTGAATGTTGCAAACATGGAGAATCTTCCTCCCCAACTTAGTCTTGCTCTACCTGAAGAACACCTTCTACCACCACCTTCCACCCATATATGTGTGTATTTAAAAAAAAAAAAAAAAAAACGGAAAAAAAACACACACAACAAATATGATACTTCTTCATTCAATTATTTGTTCAGGTCCCAACATTTAGAGAAACAGAGTGGCACTGATAATGCATAGAGTGTACCTGAAAATAGCATATACCTGTGTCACGTGTACATGTGAGGAAAATCTATGGGAATTTTTTCTCATAAAAATATAAGTATTGCTAGATACATCTGGAATCACAGCTGCCTGCTTTCTGAGGACACCGCTGTGAAGAATGTGGGTTAGGGCTCCTGTTCTCCTATGTGCTGGGAGGCTGGCTATGGCTTCTTCAAAGCCTGGGCTACAAATACACCGAGGATAACCTGACCTTCAAGCTTCAACGCTATGTCCAGATCAGGAGGAAGTTACTACTTATAGGTCAAAACAGTCATTCATGGTGGCTGCTTCCAGGTAACACGTATCTCTCAAAATTCTTTTTTTTTTTTTAATATATTTTATTGGTATTTTACAGAGAGGAAGGGAGAGAGAGAGAGAAACATCGACCAGCTGCCTCTTGCACACACCCCCACCGGGGATGTGCCCGCAACCAATGTACATGCCCTTGACCAGAATCGAACCTGTGACCCTTCAGTCTGCAGACCGACGCTCTACCACTGAGCCAAACCGGTTTTGGTGAATCTCTTGAAATTCTTAAAGAATGAAGTAGAGGAAGACAGCCCAGACTGCAAGCCACATGGAAGCCATTACTGCCTGAAAACCAGCTCCTAGAGGCAAAGTCAGGGCTGGGCTGAGTTCCTTCAGCATCTTCTGCTTCATCAACGTGAGCATCTTCTGCTTCACCTCCAAAGCGAGCATGCCTGACCAATGTCCTTTGCCGTTCATCTTTTTAGAGGTCACCATAAGTGTAAAACTATTTTTTAAATGAAAATAAATAATGGCTTTGGCCTACATGATTTTGACATTATTCACACTAAGGTATTTTTAAGTCTTGCAAATAACTCCCCATGTTATTTTCCTAGAAAACTGATTATAATAGATATTTGCTTTCAGGAATTTTAGCAAACGAGGGCCAGAGTTCATTAATTCCTACTGCGGTCACACGACTGCTGAGATCAGAGGACATGAAATCAATGAATCCAAGGAATGGCTGGGGGTTTTCCCCTTTAAATATTTAGTGAGAGAGAACATGCATTTTGATGAAATGGGTTTTTAAGTTGTACTTTGAAGTGAGACTAAGCTTTTGAATGCAATTGTAGATCAAAAAATTTTACCAGTACATATCTTAAAAGCAATATGATTGTTTTTCCGCATGGACTAACAGCCTTCTATATGGAACTATTCAATGCTAAGACTTCATTTTAGAAGAGATTTTTTTAAGCGAGTCTTAAGTTCCTGCATCGCAGGAGGCGTGGAGAGCTGACAGGCCACACCAGCTACATTAATTTTATAAGTACTGCGGCAGTAGGCAGGCAGGCACACTTAGGTGTCTGTGGGGTGTATGTGGGTGGAGAAATGCTCTGAGATTGCCTCGGGATGCCACCCCTTGTGAGAATGAGAAGAAATCGCCTCCTCTCCAGGCAAACACAGCCTTTAAACAGCTTCATCAAGCCACCACAGCTAGCTCTCACTGCCTCACTGCCTCAACCACTGCAGTAGATCTTCTGCTTCTAAGGCAGCTTAGGCTTGGTTCCAGTCACCCTTCAGGCAGAGATGGCAAACAGGTTTCGTCCCTGACATCATTTCTGAGGAGCTGGAAGAGACTTCCTGGTAAATTCGGTTGAGAAAAATACATAGACCAAGTATAGGTTCAACAAGGGAAGAGTTCTGTAGCCATGTCTTCCACTGGCATGGGAGCGGAGAAATGCTGGGAGCGTGATTTGTATTTGTGTTCCAGGCCTCGGGAATATAAGAGGGCTTCACTGGCCAATCCTTTCTTATAACTCTTTAGTTCTCTGGAAGCCCTGTAACCCACTATGAGATTCCATCCTGTGCAGAATTTGAGGGTGCTGAGGCAATGATACAACACAGCCATTCCCTCCCCCTTACCCTCCAAATCACACACAGTATTTCCTTCCTCAGAACTATTTTAGAACAAGATGCAGCAGGAAGCAATAGTAATTTATTGGGCAGTAAGTCCTTCTGGATGTTTCCTGTTGTTCTAGAAACGTTGTCCTTCAGCGATATGGTTTTTTGGACCAGAGGAACTCAACAGTTCACAGCCAAATCCAAATTCCTCTGTTAGAGGAACATTCCAAGCACAAAGATCTATGGGGCTGGGGTGATCGGGGCAACTCCTTGTTGTAGTAATTCACTGACCTATTGTGAATGGAATGGGGTGGGGGGAATCACTATTCCCTTGGCCAATTCATCGAGAAGTAATTTGGATCATGAAACCATTAGTTGTCTGAATGGGGTCCTGCCCAGAAAGCAAACAGAAAATAGAATATGTTGGGAGGATGCTTCCCAAGTGGTGACCTCCCTTCCCTCCGGGTTCAGAAGACTCCGGCTTCCTCTCTAGAAGACTCACGGCAGCACAGAGAGGGTCTACAGCAGCAGCATGAGTCTCGTGAGCCCAGGCAACATCCGTCCCAGCCTTTTTCTGCCCAGGAAGTTCTTTGCTATCCACACCCACTCACCTGTGACCTTCTCAGCAGCCCAGTACTTCCCTACGGTCTCAAGCACCCAGGCCTCCTCACGATCCGCAATCAGGAAAGCACTCTGGAAGCTGTGGCAGGAGTCCGCATCTTCGTAATAATTCCCACCTTGCCCGTGTTCTTCCAACAAGGCGACGATGACATCTAGGGCTTCCTTGGCCGTTGACCCTCTTTCTAAACCAAGCCTGAAGGAAGGAAACCAGAGGTACAGCTCAGACATTTCGTTCCATGTGATCATTACCATAGCAACCAAAGATTGGGACGAGGCTGAGTTATGAAATGTGCCAACAGATATAAATATGTTACATACGCAGGCCAATGTGCAGGCAAATGATCAGTGCTCTCACACATTTGGTTCTAAATCATCAGGTGTTTTCTGTCTTTGGGCATCCCCCACCCACACAGACAGAAGAGCTAGGACCCCAGTGGTTCAGCCACTTCCCCTTCTCTTTTCTAGCTCTGTCTCCCAGGGAGCTGGCAGGCTTTGCTCTAGCTCTTAGCAGACCCCTTCTGTTGGTTAATTCTCCCTCTTGCCTCTACTCCCCTGCCTCTGGGCAAAAGGAAATCTCTGCCCTATCCAGCCTTGTTCTCCATTATTTTATATCAGGTAGTTTGGTTAGTAATAAAAGTGTTCCATAGCCAGCCATTGTCTTTGGTGCATGTAACTGACTCAAGAGACCTCAGTAGGGGAGGGCTGCTGGTTAGGATGCAATCAATCCTTTTCTACATATTTCACCTCCTGCCTATCAGTGTATCTCTGCTGGGGTGGCTTATAGCTTCAGTTATCAAAAAGCACATATTTCTCTCAAAGCCAAATAGCAATCTCCTCCCAGCTATTCATAGATCTCTAAAAGAGGGCACAGATTTTGCCCTCCATGTGACCTTGGGAAAGTTGCATAATCTATTTGAACTTCAGTTGTATGTCACCTATAAAATAAGAATCTAGCCGAAACCAGTTTGGCTCAGTGGATAGAGTGTTGGCCTGCGGACTGAAAGGTCCCAGGTTCAATTTCGGTCAAGGGCATGTACCTTGGTCGTGGGCACATGCCCAGGAAGGGGTGTGCAAGAGGCAGCTGATGGATGTTTCTCTCTCATTAATGTTTCTAACTCTCTATCCCTCTCTCTTCCTCTCTGTAAAAAAATCAATAAAATATATATATATTTTTTTTAATCTATATCATTGGGCTGCTAGGAGGAAGGGTTTTATGATATAATGGACATGAAAATCTATAGCACAAGTGCTCAGGACCAAGTAAGTGACCAGTAAATTGTGAAAACCCATGGCCGGAAAACAGTTGACTGAGAAATAAAGGGACCCATGCTCAGTTCTGGTTCTGCTACCCACGGCAGTATGACCTTGAGTAACGGAGCCTTTACGAACCTGACTTTCTCATCTGTAATGTGAAAACAGTACGATTTCCCTCTCTGGCTGGTTGGGAAGAGGAAGGCACATGCTAAGTACTCAGTAAATGTCCATTTATTCATCTCTTCATTCAAATCCCTACTCTGGTGGCCAGAACAGGGTCTTAGAAAGACCACAAAGGGAGCACAGGCCAGTTCTTGGTGAATGTTCAGTGTGAGACACAATCATTATTGAAATTCACTTAGCTCGAGTCTCCCGGAAGGGATATGTATTTCACTGGGCGGCCAAGGAGAAGAAAGGGTGACAGGCTATGGATTTATTCTTGTAGCAAGCTTATTTTCATAGTTGGAAAATTATGTATCCATTCACTCGGCATTTCTCCATTTAAGATTATTTAGGAAGACTTGGTGCCAAGGCAATGATTTGTGAAGCTGCACCCTAAGTCTCTAAGAGAGCGATAAGAGAATGAACCCATTAGAATATTGCAGCGGGTTGGCTTTCTGTTAAAGCGCTGACCTTTGCCAGTGCTGGAAGTCCCATACCACAAATCTATGATAACTCAAATGCAAGGTGATCAATGGCGCACACGAGGGGCAGACTTTTCATCATTAACTCTCCATGTGCAGGATTTCTATGAAGGGTGATAGGTAAAAATATTGGGACGGCTGTCAAACATAACCTCAAAACTTGTTACTCCATAATTTCACTCTATTAAGAGAAAAGGAGGGGACTTTTTCCTCTCCTCTGAGTTTGTCAGAATCAGGAAGAATGGTGGCCGGCGAGGCAGGCACAAAGGCTACCAAAAGGATATCACTAGCAGGTCCATCCGTCACTTGTTAGAAGCTGTGGGCCACAGAGGTCTCTGTGTAAATGTGCAATTTCTCCCTACAGAATGTGAAAATCCATACTCCTTTTTATAGGATGTTAGCTTTGGGAGGGGGTGGGGAAGAGGGGGGTGGTCATCAGAAGTCACCCAATCTAACACCTCACATTGGACAAAGAGGAAACCACAGTCCAGAGAGGGGCTGTAACTTGGTGTATCGACACCAGAAACCCTGGACCCTGGCTCTGACCTAACCTTCTTTCAACTATGTCCGAGGCTCTGCTGCGTTTTACTAGCTCAGAAAAAAAAGAAAGCCCTCTCAGAACGTTGTTTCACTCCAGCCCACCCCCTACTTCAGTCATTCATCCCTAACTCCGTCATTGTTCGCCCACTGTGCACCAGGCACAGGGTCCTGTTGCTTGTGACGGAGTAGTGGCCAAGCAGACAAGGACCCCTGTCCTGTGGGTCCCCCGTGGTGGCTGGAAGAGTAGGGGAAGAAAGGAAAGATGACTGAAGCAGAGGAAGGAAGTGAGGAGGAAGGAAGGAAGTGAGCTCTGACCTCTTCTCCTTGGATCTTGCCTATTTTATATGTTTCCTTGTCTTTTTATATATTTTAACTATACTTCAAATACCATAAATTTCATCCATTTAAACTACACAGTTTAGTGGTATTTACCAGTCGTGATATTCGCAAAGTTGTGCATCTATCTCCACAATCTAACTTTACAATATTTTCAACACCCCAAAAAGAAGCCCTATACCATTAGGAATCACTCTCACTCCCTGAGCAATGACTAATCTCTCTGTTTCCATGAATCTGTCTATCGGGCTATTTCACAGAAATAGTGACATACAATATGTGACCTCTTATGTCTGGCTTTTTCTCACTTAGCATCATGTTTTTGAGGTTCTTTATGCTGCAGCACATATCAGTACCTGGTTATTTTTTATTGCTGAATAATGTTCCACTGTAACTATCCTTTTTCTTTCTATCACTTCCAAGTTTATATCAAATGGCACACATATTCTTTGGGAGGGTTGTGTTTTGAAGTGTGAGGTTTGGAGGGAGGTAAGTCCTGTGCCCACCCCCTCACCACACATACCTGACCAGATCCATCCCCAGCAAGGCTTCCGTCTCGGCGGCCGGTTCCCTGGCATTGACCGCTTCGTTGGCTATGCACACTCCATGATCATTGGCTCCCATTTCTGCCCCCCAAAGCCAGGCAGGTCTGCTTATCACGATGGCGTGGGTCCTGGGAACTTGGTCGATGGAAATGTAAGTACACTGGAATATGAAGACAGGAAAGAAAGGGGCCATCGGCTGTCAGGTACCACTCGTTTTCACCTTGGCACTTACCAAGTGCACTGGTTAATACTGCGGATTTTGTAATCAGAGAAAACACGATAATTTCAAGATAAACATAAAAGTGCTTTATTCAAAGTAATATCCATCGCTAGCTACACATTTCCCCTTCTTTTAGGTAATTTGTGGATACCGTCCCAATAGAACTTTCTTGTTTTGAGGCAAACTATTCAGAGATCCAGTTTTCCACTTCTTCGTACGTTTTGAAGTGCTGCTCAGAAAGTGCGTGTGCCGTCGATCGGAACAAGTGGTCATCTGAAGGAGCAAGGTCTGGTGAATACAGTGGGTGGGTTAATACGTGCCAGGCAAGATCTTTTAACATGTCTTTAACTGGTTTTGAAGGGTGTGATGGTGCGTCATCATAAAGTAAAATTACTTTGCCGTGTCTTCTGGCACATTCTGATTCTTTCATGATCAAAGAGTGGTTCAAACTGATTATTTGTTGTCGGTAGTAATCAGTATTAATGGTTTCACCTGGTTTTAGAAAGCTCCTATAATATTATACCACACCTTCCTGATCCCACCAAACACAGAGCATCGTCTTCTTTCCAAAGTGATTTGGCCTTGCAGTCAATGTTGATGGTTGACCTGGATCAACCCAGGATTTTGTGCATTTGGGATTCTCAAAATAAATCCACTTTTCATCACCAGCCACAGTTTGATGCAAAAAAGACTTTCTTTCGTGCCGTTGAAGCAACATTTTACTGATGACTTTTCGGTTTTCCATTTGTCTTTCATTCAGTTGATGTGGCACCCATTTTCCTTTCTTTAAAATCTTTCCCATTCCTTGTAAATGATTGGAAATTGTTTGCTGAACAATGTTTAATCTTTCTGCAGTTGTTTTTGAGTTTGACATGCATCTTCATCCAATAATGCTTATAATGTTAGTCTTCAAACTTTGTCAGTTGACCTGGACAGTCTTTATCTTTCAAGTCTAAATTATCACTTTTAAAGCATTTAAACCAGCGTTCACAAGTATCTTAAGATGGAATATGTTCACCATAAGCTTCCCGAAGTATTCAGCAGCACTTTTCTTCAAAATAAAGTAATGAGCCGAAACCAGTTTGGCTCAGTGGTAGAGCGTCAGTCTTTGGACTGAAAGGTCCCAGGTTCGATTCCGGTCAAGGACATGTACATTGGTTGTGGGCACATTCCCGGTAGGGGGTATGCAAGAGGCAGCTGCTCAATGTTTCTCTCTCATCGACGTTTCTAGTTCTCTATCTCTCTCCCTTCCTCTCTGTAAAAAATCAATAAAATGTATATTTTTTAAAAAATAAATAAAGTAATGAATTAAAACTTCCCGCAAATGCTCTTTTTATTTTTGGCATGAAATTCTATATTTTTGAGTGTAAAAATATCTATGTTAACACTTTCAGAAAATTTGACATATGAAGTTTTGAAGCTTGTTGTCAATACAACAAAATAGCATACATATCGAATCACATATATATCAACATTTGGGAAAAAAAAAAATCCGCATTAACTGGTATACCTAGCACACTGAACCAACACATCAGCTACAGACAGATCAAATGAATAAGTAAAGAAAAGGCCTTGAGAATACGGGACTTCAAAGACACCCCAAGTCTCAGTGCAGCTCACAGGTCTCCATGGTGACTGTTGTCTTGCCAGCCACTTGCCAGCCTCTTTGTTTCCAGACAGTCCTCCCAGGAGGCTCATATCTAAGGCGGTCATCTTCTTGAACCAGGGGTCAGCCACTCTGAATATGCCCTGGCTGGTCGTTTCAACAGACATGGATGAGTAGCAGCATTTCAAACAAACAGTGACTTATTCTTGCTTGCAAAGATCCTTCTCTCTCAGAGATTTTAAACGTTAACAGTAGAGAGCCCTATCTGTAAAAGATACTGTGCCTGGAAGCCTGCCATGGAAAACAGACAAAAGGGACAGGCTTTGTCTGAAGAAGGAAGGTCCTTAAGCCTCCTGCAATGATCCTGAGGGTGCCCTGGAACAGAGTTTGACAACCTACACGATGGCTCCAATGGTAAGAGAGAGAAAATGACAATACCTTACATTTCCCTAATGCATTCAACACACACTGCCTTATGCAGGGTGCTTCCCTGTCTATCCCATTGGATCCCCGTGAGATGGGAACATAGGAAACCGTCCCAGAGGTGGGTTTCTAACTGCTGTTGAACTGCAGTGCCCACCCCGGGAGCTGTGCGTCTTACCTTCTCCAGGCTGCTTGCTACGTCTTTACCTGGAAAACGAATGAGCAGATCTAGATCAAACTATTTCTTCCAAAGTGTCTTCATCCTCAGAACCCTTCCTTCACACAAACGCTTATATGGAAGCATGAAGACAATAAAAATGCTCAAAGTGCGTTGAGAGGCAAATGGAAGAACAGGGGTGGGACTGGGGTTGGTAACGCTGAGCCTTACCTGCTGGGTCTGCCTCTTCCCTCCCCACTTTGGACCCCACGGGAGAGGAAAGGGTTATCCAGAGGGGCTTCTACCTGGACAGTCTAGCAGTCTAGCACACACTCTGGTAGACGCAGTGTCGAAATCGTGGTTCTAAATTACGAAGAGCACTTTAGCTCTCCAGGGAGAATTTTATCAAGGACAGCAGCCATTTACATTTTAAATGAGGAAGCTGAAAGCATTGGATCAACTGCAGTCTAAGATCTTTTATTTATTTTTTTTTTTACTCAAGACCCAATTTTATCGGCTGAATGCCGCCCAATTTTCTGCATTGATTTCCCATAATCTCTCAACCACAGGTAACAGCTGAAATGCACAGTTGTTGGCCACGTGACATCTGTATCTCCGCCATCCACAGTTAGATATTGCTGTGCCCTGGGATAATGTGATTTCATTTGACAGGTATTAGTAAACTGAAAGCTAATGAAATATGAAGGCTTCCATGGCAAATGGATACTAAAATATACCCTGGAAATGTTTTCTCTTATTCGTTTGCCAAAAGTCATTTCCTTTACAAAAAAAAAAAAAAAAGATTCTTTTAGAGCAAATCCTGGCTAACACAGTAAACCATTAAACCATGGTCCTCTGTGCTTATCTACATGTAAATGAAGGTCACATCTTAAAACTGCACGCTTTTATGTAAAAAATAATTCAGGCATTGACCAACACTTCCCCAAATCCCTGTGCATGCTGAGCTCCCGTGACAATTCTGCCTTGAAACAATAAGGAGTAGGGAAGGAATCTCCGACTCTTAAGCACAGATATCGATTTTTTTACAGGCAGAACAAAAGGGAAAATAGGAAGTGGGTTTACTTATTGGCCCTCAAGTTCATTTTTACACATTCATTTCCATTTCACCGGTTATTTGTAGAGCACCAACCACACACAAGGTGCTGTGTGCTAAGTGCTGCTGCAGGCCAGTCAATGAGCTGTCCGATCCCCAGCCTCTGGTGGGGAAAGAAGAAGAGGCACAGCTGCTCATAACGAGGACCCCAAAGCCAGCCTCTGTGAGTGTAGCTGAGGCCTGTCTATTAATATGTGTGGCCTCTTGCCCCCGCCTCCTCCTAGAACCTCTAGTCAGTGCAATCCTGCTTTTTCTTTTTCACACTCTGTTCCATTTATCTCCTTCCAGAGCACTATCTAATTGACTTATGTACTGCATGTATGACTGATGTATGCTACCTCCACCTGGACAGGGAGGTGTCTCTGTTGTTCAGTTCGCTGCTATATCCCAAGTCTGGTACAAACGAGGCATCGATAAACCTTTCTTTGAATGGATGAGTGAGTGGGTGAATGAATGAATAACAAAGGTCAAAGGGAGAATAAGGATTGGAAGGATAGAGGGAACACATCCTAGTGGTCAGCAGCTTTATTAAGTGGGTGACATTTGCATTGATCTTAAAAAATGGACCGGACATCGAGGTATTCCAGACAGAGGTCAGAGAAGAGGCAGATGGGGGTGTCAAAGGTGTGCTCACCATGCAGGGAAGGCCCCTACTGTACCACTCAGGACAACCACTGTACTGTCACTGAGTCACAGGACTGCAGAGCTCACTACGTGACGCCTGAGAAAAATGTTGACAGTTGAATCAGAAAGACCATATGGTCTTTGTGGGAATTCAGAATATATGTGGCCAACTTTTCAGGCCAAGCTCAGAATGAGGAGGAAGGAAGGAGATCCCGAGCAGCCAGATGGGCTAGTCAGTCTCTCCTAAGCTGTAGCTGGGAAGCCGTCACCCCAGATGCCCCTCATATGCTACAGAGCAGGCACAGGAAGATGGGGTGTGGCCCCACTCAAGCCTCAGTGAGCCTGGAACACCTACCCCTCAGGGCATCTTTGTCAGGAACCACAGAAGCCTGGGCCTAACATGGGCCCTTCCATGACTGCAGTTCACACACACGCTATTGTGTTTGCAGCCTGACTAATCACACCCAGGCCTGGGAGGGGATGGGAGGACGAATCCTCTGGGTGCATATAGATGGGTTATGTAAAATCCCACTTTGGGAGCAAACCTCAAAACCAGGAGCAGCCAAAACCGGTTTGGCTCAGTGGATAGATAGTTGGCATGCGGACTGAAAGGTCCCGGGTTCAATTCTGGTCAAGGACATGTAACTTGGTTGCGGGCACATCCCCAGTGAGGGGTGTGCAAGAGGCAGCTGATCGATGATTCTCTCTCATCAATGTTTCTAACTCTCTCTCTCTCTTCGTCTCTGTAAAAAATCAATAAAATATTTTATTAAAAAAAAACAAAAAAAAAAACCAGGAGCATTTGCACAAGATGTAGTCAGCTGAACTTTGTAAAGCCAGCTGCCTAGAACACGAACACCGCAGGCAGTCATTTTTCAAACGGCCTTCACATTTGCCACGTTACTAACGAGGCAGAGAGGAAGCAGGGTGTGAGGGAGCAGAGGTCTCACCAGAAAAAAAATCCAAAAAAGCACCCGAAATCTTTTAGTGTGCCAAAAACATTTTAGTTCGCCCAG